GCTTTTAACACCAGCTTGGAAGAAATCAGCACGGTTTTTCATAGCATAAAGTTCAGCATGGTAATCTACTAGTACATGTGGGTTCAGCTGCTGACAATGTACAGGATTGTAAAAAGTTGGCAGCCCTTAAGCATTTGTTTCATTATCCAGCTTTTTCGAATGATCTTAACATATTCAAATATGCCCAATGAAGCTGTTGGTCTTCCTACTGTTTATTCTTTTTATTCCTCAGAGGCTTAGTTGCTCCCAGAAAAAATACAAAGCAGACATCCTGCTTTGATTCCCTAAACTGATTAACGAGAAGAACATGTACTGTAATGTGCCAGACTAAATATGATTTTAGGGACTGTGTATTCAAAATATTTTAACTTGCTATGACAATCAAGAAATGATGGGCAATATAACAAGGGCAGTGAACTTTAAAAAATCATTTTGAGGTGAACTTTGCTCCCATTTGATTCTACCTGTCTCAGCTGACTCATACTTCCAGTGGATGCATCAACCTGTTATGGCAGGGGTCAGGGAACTTTTTTACCTTTTACCCCCTAAAAAATTTATATACGCCAACATTACCCCCTTGATTTGAAAGGAAGGAAATCATACATTATTTGAATTCAAAATATTATTGAATCTACACAGGCTGTGTACTGAACTAGCAGGATATATCATCAGTATCAATGGCTGCCAGGCTATGTACCGAACTAGCAGGATGCACCAAATTTAATAAAGATGTGCACTATTTTTGCTGGAACACATTGCACTCCAGCCATGGGGTGGTATAGGGAGCAGTAAGGTGTCCAACGTGCCTAGCAAGTTGCATTAAATTTTTGCTAGCTCGCAGAGGATTTAATCATCATCAATGGCTGCCAGAGTGGTGCTAGCAATGACATGCTTGCTAGAGACAGCCAACGCAGAATTCGGGGGGGGGCGCTTTCCCTACCACCTTAATCATTCTATGTGTGGTGTGCAAAAAGGAACAAACCAGGCTAAAGGTCATATCACCCACCCTGGTGCCACAGCCCAATATCAAAGACCAGTGCGCTATTTTTTAAATTATCATCAATGGAAAACTCAGCAGTGGCCAGAGGACTGGAAAATCTCAGTCTACATCCCAATCCCAAAGAAGGGAAGTGCCAAAGAATGCTCCAACTACCGTACAATTGCACTCATTTCAGATGCTAGCAAGGTTATGCTTAAAATCCTACAAGGTAGGCTCTGCTCATTACCCCCAGGATTTTCATTTTTACCCAATTTGGGATAATTTACCCCTGTTTCCAGACCACTGTGCTATGGTGTCTGCATTTTGCATTGCTTGGTGTTTGTCTGAGCCAGAAAATTGCAAATTTTATCTTAACACTGTGCTAACAATAGTGAATATACAAATATACAAATATTTAAAAGGATCAACACCTGAACAACACAGGTTTATTGATTACAGTTCTCTTAAACAGGTTCTTCACAGACTTTAATGTATTCATTAGATTACTGTGCTTCCCTGAAAATAAGCCCTAGAATGATTTTTCAAGATGCTTTTAATATAAGCCCTACCCTGAAAATAAGCCCTAGTTAAGTGAAACCCTCCTCTCCACCAGGGACTCACCGGGATCTTCCCAAGCCCTCAAGAGAGACTTAAAATGTCTTCCCCTCCTCTCCCACTTCCCCCGCTTGCAGAGGGGCCGGGCAGCTAGGGAGGAAGGAGCTGTGTACCGCCAGGAACTTGCTTGTTAGCTGCTAAGTTCCTAACAGCTCTTGAGGCTTGCGCCTCTGCAGTGTGCATGCTTCCCCCCCCAGCGTGCGCTCAGCCGAGGCTAAAAAAGCACAAGGTTGGAGGGGGGAGGTGATTACGGAGCTCCAGCCCCTGCCAGCCAGCCCACCCCGCCCTGCCGTTATTTTCCCCCTCCCCTCTTTCTCCTACCATAACTCTTTTAACCCTCCTCTTGTTCAGATCCCTCTTTGGTGCTGGATCCTGCTGGCAGGGCCACATGTTGAAGCAGCTGCTGCCCTTTCCTCAACTGGGCTCGCGGGCTATGGACCCCACGCTCCCCACCCCATTCCACACCAATGCCTCCCCCTTCACTGCTGCCGTTGTTTCCCTCAAAACAAACCCAGCGCCCGCCAGCCCCAACGGGAGCCTCAGCCCAGGCACCGCCACTGGAGGAACCCAAGACACCATCGTGGCGCCTCCTGGCAGCGGCAGAGGCACTCCTGGAGGAAGTAGCACCAGGTACATTTAAAGAAGGGGAAGGAGGATGTGAATAAATTAATAATAATAAATAAAATAAATGATGGCAATTGAATAAATGTAGATTGTTGTTCTTGGCAAAAAATAAAGCATCCCCCGAAAATAAGCCCTAATGCATTTTTAAAGCAAAAATTAATATAAGACCCTGTCTTATTTTCGGGGAAACACAGTAGTAATAATTTGTTTCACTCTTACCTCTCTTAGCTCTCTAAAAGTTCCACAATCTTAACTCCAAATTCAACCACCCTCTCTAACTACCACAGATTAACTTCTCCTTCAGACTCTCATCTCTGACTCTCACTGACTGAACTCCCGAAACTCTGACTCAGCTCCAAGTTTCTGTGGCTCCGTCTCCCAACAGCTCCCATTGGTGTATGCAAACAACCTCCTACATGAGCCAAAGCAGGGTGACTGCCACACTCACATATTAAAATCACTCTATGTGAAGGAGCAGAATGTATGAGTGAGTTATCCGTAATTACAGAAGCCATAGAAGGAGGAGAAAAGGAGAAAAGAGAGGTAGAATGAAAAGATGAAGGGTTGACAGTTACAAAAGATGCGGGAGAAATAGGGTCAGAAGAAAAGGTGGGGAATACGATTTGTCTAGCAGAAGAGGTGAGAGGGCAAAAGGAGCCGGAGCAAGAAGTGACAATTTGGGAGGAAGATATAAATGAGGAAAGGGTGCGCTAGTTTAGTTCAGTGGTGGCAGAATACGAACGAAAGAGAGCTGAAAACCGGAGAAAGGAGTTCGAAAGAATCCTGTGGCGATCTACCTTGTTGCCCCTATTTATTTGGCCCTCACAAGGGATCACGCCCTATTTCCTTCACACTGCCACCAGGTATTCTCCAATACCAATTATGTTATCCACGTGTGCTGCCAAAACTAAGGGTTATTGAATTTAGGAATCAGAAGTTTAATTAACAAACATTCTTTTATTGTCAAGTAACTCATAAAGGTAAATCATGTAGGAACTGTATCAGGTATTAACATGGATTGGATTATGTATGCAGTCACTTTTATTCCAAACTATGATGTACTTGTAATCAACATCTCTCTTATAGTACTTATGATTTCATTCTTGATTGTTCAATATATTTTAACCCTCACAATTTTCTCTCTTAACACTCTCAGCTCAATTCACTAACCTTCTCCTTCTCTCCTAAACCCTAACTGCCATTCCACATCTCCAACTGTCTCTCTAACTGTCTAAGTGTCTCTCTGACTTCACCCCTCCTGCTTTATCCTTGACTCCTCCCTCTTGAGTTGCGATGGACAGGCAGGAATGACATCACCTGTTGGCATTTCGCTACAACTCTAGACACAAGGGCTGCTAAGAGACTTTCCAAACCTGAAGGTTGGTGGATTGCTGCCTGAGCCCGCCCCTGGTGAAGCGAAGCCATTGAGGTACATGACTAAGGAATGGACAGTGATTGTGGCACCTCGTGAGCTGGAGCTACAAAGAGAGGCAGAAATAGCCCACAATACGTTCTACGATAGACTGAACGAAAGAGGCTGAATAAGGCACTCATGCTGTGGGGCGATCTGTGCTCTCCGAAGTACTCCGCCCCCAAGTCTGGAATACAGGGAATGGCATGGGAGACATCCCGGTTGAGTCCATGAGATTATGGCAAAAGTTTTGGTTCTGTTAGCATTGGCCTGTTGCCAGAGTTAAGAGTTTTTGATCCTATAAGTAACGTGCTGGATGAGATAAGTGTTAATAAAGATGAAAGTTTGAAGGTTATAAAAATGTCTCTACTATTTCCCGCCGAAGAAGAAGGGTTGTCCCAAAAAGCAGAAGAACCCTCTTACACTCTAACAAGAAATTTACACTTTAGAACTAGAATGCTCTTATGTTAAGACAAAAAATGTAAGCAAAGTAAGTTGAATATATAGTATATTCATTAATATTTCAAAGTGGGAAACAATGCAAATTATTTGAGATCTATTTTTTTAAAACACAATACACATGGTGTCATGCAAATGATTTTGTTCCATTTCTCAATATTGCACAGAAGAAAGAAACAGCTGTCTAAGGAATTCATCTCAAAAACACTTTTTCCCCCCATGGGAAGTAGTAATTTTTTGAGTCAAGTATCAAGTACAAACAATGAGAGGGAAGGTACAGCAGCAGTATTGTTTTAAACACAACTAGTGTTTTTTAGTACCTTACATGTCTTCAAAGTAATTCATATGCCCTATATAGCAGTTGCCCACATTGCAGATGGCAGGACTGAGGCTGAGAGAACAACTTACCTAAATCCACCTTGTGAATTTGTGGCACAATTGAGGTCTGAATTGGAGATTTCCTGCTCCTTGACCTTATATTATATTACACCAACATGCAATGAACGTAATTTAAATATTGCTGGGAGGCAACTCATTGTAGTATTTCTGAGGATAACAGCTACTGAGCAGTACTGACAATGATGGAATTAGTCATATAGCACCTATAACACAATTTTTTTCACACATTTTCATAAGCACACCACTGAAGACTAGGTACACTTTGTGCTGAGATCCACAAAAGCTTGGGAAGAATTAAAACTAGTTTGTCTTACAGGTGCTGCATGGCTATTTCTGACATTAATTGTAACAACACAGCTAGCTGCTGCATGACAATGATGGCGTTACACATGTAAAGGCACTTGTTGAATTAGTGGTCTATGGAGAATAACAGGCACCCTTGGCTTGCTTTCAAAATATTGAAACAATTTTTTGTGTTCAAGAAGTAAAATCCAAAGAACATTCACAAGATGCTGAACTTCCAGTTTGTTTAGAGTTGCACAGGAATCAATTGCAGGTTGTCTCTTAGTTACGGATTTTGTAATCGGGGATCTGCAGCAAGAGAAAAGAAGTCGAATACTATACTTATTTTCCTCCGAATTGTTGTAATGTTCATAGTGAACCCACCTTTAGCACAAAATGGGTTTACATCAATTTTCTGCACTCCAGACCCATTGCTCCCTTTTCTCAGCTACAGTAAAAACAACAAAACCAAAAAACCCTATAATGAAGCAATTCTACCTAGAATAACAGATGTACACAGATAAAGACATCATTGACTTCAAAGTGATTTTGCCTACTTTTCAGGGAGTGGTGTAACTGAAATATACTCCACCCCCATGCAAGGAAGTGAATATCTGTTCACAAATATATGCATTTGAACTTTTTTGAAGTTCTTTTTAGTTAAACGAGAGTGTTGTTGGACTTCATTTATCTAGCTCAGTGCAAATATATTCTCATGTGAGTATACACTGAGGAATTTGTGTAATGTCAAATGAGGCTGCACTGAAAAGCTACTGCCTTGCAATACCTAAAGGGAGCCTGCCTCATAATCATAGAAATAATGGGATACTATGAAATAGTGTGAAAGCTTATTACAAAAATTACTGCTTTCCTGCCTACCAGAACTGTATATTGCAGGTAGAATTTGCATGCAGATGAAAACAGCCTAATACACATTTAAAGATGACCTTGGTTTATTTACTGGCTGTTTTGGAGTGGGAAAGAAAGAGGAAAGGTTATTGGGTTAAGCAAATAGATGGAAAGGTCTGGGGAAAGACCTTTTCTGCTTTTTTCCAAAGCTATTTTTTTTTCTGGAAAAATTGAAAAAAATGGAGTATGGAATATGTTCTTTTATAATATTAAATAATATGTTTATCACATGGTATTCAAATTATATAACCTGAAGACCCTAATGAAAGACTTCTGAGATTTTATGTATTTAACTTCTCGTTAGAGATGTAAAATTTCCAAAAATTTCCATTTTGTTCCAGAAAAAAAAACAACAGAGGAAAACATTGTTTCCAGAAAAAATGGAAATTTTCAGAAATTTTACAGTTAAGCAGATATGCTATGCGGAGCAAAAGGTCCCAGCATTCCTACCTGAATCTCAAAGGAGAGCTGGGAAAAACTGGTGTGCAGTCCCTAAACAGTGGAGAGCCACCACCAGTAAGAAGAGAAAATGCTGAGCTAGGTAGTCTGACCGGGGTTCAAAATGGAACAGGTTCCTGTATTGTGTATACAAGGTTTCTGAGCATTTATGTCTGTTTTTGTATAAAAACACCATAGGGAGCCATATCCAGAAGCTGAATGTGAAGGCTCTATTAGGTATCAGTGTATGGTAGGATGGGGCTGAAGAGGGATGTTCTTGCTTCCTTGCCTCCAAGGCTTCCTTCACAACTGCCCTTCTTAGTGCCCAGAATCCTGCTGGTAAGTTCAAAGTGCTTCAGTTAAACTGCATAACTCACTACAGTGAATTGCTGCTTACTAACAAACCATGCACAGTGGTGCCTCGCTTAACGAGCACCCCGTACAGCGATGAATTCGCATAGCGATCCCTCTTCCGGGATCGCTAATGCGAAGGCATCGTGTCGGCCCCAATGGGCGAAATTCGCATAGCGAAAGTCGGTAAGCGTTTCACTTACCGACCTTCGTTTTGCGACCCGCAGATCAGCTGTTCAGCGGGTCAAAAATGGCCGCCGGAACACCCGAAATGGCCACGGGCAGCGTTTTCGCACCCTTGGTAAGCGAGGGGAGGGCGCGAAAACGCTGTGCGCAGCCATTTCGGGTGTTCCAGCGTATGGTGAGTTTTCTGCCGATTTGGAACGTTCCAATGCCTTTTTTCAATCCGTACAGCGATGTTTTCAGATAGCGAAGGTTAATCCGGAACGGATTAACCTCGCTATGCGAGGCACCACTGTACTTGAGTGTGTAACAGGAACAGGCCTAGTAATGTGTCCTGTGCCCCACTAGTTAGTGGCAATTCACTGCCAGGAGTTACATGATTTAACTTATACATACTTAATCATGAACAGGATTCTGACCACTGTTCCAAAAATCATAATTTTCCATGCAGATTGTCTCCTGAATGATTTGCATACCTATATTTTTATACAGCATCCAGCTGCAATTATGTGTGTGGTAGCCAGAGCTGAATCTTTATAATGAAGGGTTTAAAAAGAAACTGAAAAAAATACCCCCCCCCAAAAAGCAATGGGGGGAGAGATCTTCCCCTACAGGCAACTACTGAACTGCTAAGTGACTTACCGCTGCCTTCAAAGCTTGGGACAAATCTTCTAGTAAATCTTCAGAGTCTTCTAACCCAACAGACATGCGAATAAATGTATCAGTGATCCCAAGGGCCTCTCTATCTGCCTTGGGAACTGAGGCATGAGTCATGATAGCCCTGAAAAAGAACAGATAGGGTGGGATTTCAGATGCATAAATAGAAAACATGAGATGAGCCCTGTACTAGTGATGTAACACAGCATGAAATGAGGCAAAGTCACGTCTTGTGCTGTGTAGTACATTTATTTTTATTTTTGGACATTCATTTCAAGCCATTTATTCCCTTTAAAAATGTCCATCTTGCACTTAGCATCGCACTTGGTGTCTCAGGAGGAGTCGCAGCAGGAGTCAAGCCATGTAAACTGAGCCACACCCTCCAAAAGATCTTTATAAGGACTTCAACAACTACTTTTTTGCACTTCTTTCTCCCTGCAGTTTTAAAATACCACGACCTTCCTACATTATGCCCTCTCGTTTTAGTTCTTCTGTGATTTTTCCTCCCAGTCTCAGCCAACTCTGGGGATAAGTTGCTAACTTGGTCTTTGCTTATGAGGGATGTGTTTCGATGGGGGAAATAACATCTGGGGGAATCCGGAAGGAGCTACTGGTGTTGTTCAGGGCAGAGGGAGATATGGCGGGGGATAGCACTCACAGTATCATGTGAGAGGGAAGGGGGAAAGGATATTGGTTCCCTCAAAGCTGTCCCCAAACTTAAATGGCTTGGACAGCCTTGGTAACAGGCCTCCTGGGTTGAAAGTGCTGCTGCTGAATGCCAGATCAATCAATGGGGAAAAAAACAGCCATCCAGGACTTGGTCCTTGATGAGCAGGCCAATCTGGCTTGCATCTCAGAGATTTGATTGGATGAGGCTGGGGCGTGTCAATCTCTCTCAGCTTTGCCCACCAGGGATCTCTGTGCAGCAGTAGGCAAGATCGGGGGTTGGGGATAGGGAGGTGGAGTTGAAGTGGTCTATTGTGAAAAGAGCTCAAAATTGAGGCTAACACTATCCCCCTCATGACGTGACACATCCCCTAGTTTTCCAGGTTTGAATGTTTGTATTTGAACGTTGGAGACCAGGACAAAATAGGGATTCTGTTGGTGTACCACCCAACTCGCTGCTCAACAGTCTCCCTTCCTGAGCCAGCTGAACTGGTCTTGAGGGTGGTGTTGGAATCTCTTACGCTTGTTGTGCTGGGGGACTTCAACATCCCCAAGGCAGCCTTGTCAGGAGTGGCTCAGGGCTTCAAGTCCTCCATGAGGACAATGTGGCTGTCCTAAATGGTATCTACTCAAGCTGCAGAACACAGTTTAGACCTGGTTTTCTGTACTGGGATAAATGTTGGTGATCTTGGTGTGGAGGAACTCTTTGTAGTTCTGTTATGGACAGATCATCATCTGGTGGGGTTGAGACTCACTGGAACTCAGAGTCTCTCTCTGCAGGGGTGGGAGACCGATTAAGATGGTCTGCTTTTGTCTCCTATGCTATTTAACATCTACATGAAACCACTGGGAGAGGCTATCTGGTGTTTTTTTGGGCTCGGTGTCACCAGTACATTGATGACATCCAATTCTATCTCTTCTTTCCATCTAAATCCAAGGAAGCTGTCTTGGTTCTAAATCAGTGTCTGATGTCAGTAATGGACTGGATGAGGGCGAATAAACTGACGCTTAATCCAGACAAGACAGAAACCAGACCAAGAAACAGGTTTTCAGGCTGTGCTTGATGGTGTTACAATCCCTCTGAAAATACAGAATTGCAAGTTGGGGGTGTTCTTGGATTCGTCTCTGAACCAGATGCCCGGGTTTCAGTGGTGGCCAGCAGTGCCTTTGCACAGTTAAAGTTAGTGTGCTAGCTGTGTCCGTTTCTTGAGAGGTCTGATCTGACCACGGTGACACATGCTCTAGTTAGATCTCAGTTGGATTACTGTAATGCAGGCTACAAGGGGCTGCCTTTGGAAAGTGTTTGGAAACTTCAAAGGGTCTAAAATTCCACCACCAGATTATTATCTGGGGCTGGTTACAAGGAACATAAAACTCCCCTGTAACAGTACCACCAGATTATTATCTGGGGCTGGTTATAAGGAACATAAAACTCCCCTGTAACAGTTACTGGCTGCTGATCCATTTCCAGGCACAATTCGAAGTGCTGGTTTTAACCTACAAAACCCTAAACAGCTTGGGTCCAAGCTATCTAAAAGACTGCATCTCCCTGAGTATGGATCTTTAAGTCAGAGTAATTTAGAACTAAGTATTTACATGGATCTTCACTGTGTGTGTGTGTATCTTTTAAAAATACATTCATTTGCAAGGTTTTTTGCTGTATTCTGGGTGCAGCTGACTGTATCAAATATGCCCCCATCTGTACACAGATTAAACAGCAGACTAATCTTTTACAGCCAAGACTGAGATGCATGTCTGTTTCATGCTTTTTTGTTTATACTACATGAACAGAGGTTTTTTTTTTTAAAAAAAAAAGTGATTTGTCACAATAGAGATTTCAGATAAATGATACTTACGGATGCTCAGCCAGGCTTTCATATCCTCCCAGACTTACAGCCAAGGTAAAAAGCTAGAAAAAGAAGGACAAAGTATTATATTCAAAGAAAGATTTGCTAATTTTTTCCATCTGAAAATCTGCAACTCAGTCTATGCAGAAATGAGTGTAATTAAGCCCAAGGAAATCAATGGGAAGACACCCCTACCTGTGCATTGGATCACAAGTGGAATTATTTCAGCATAGTTTTTTTAAAGGGATGATTTCAGAGAGAAACAATTTGACAGAGTAACAGTAGTTTAAAATTCCAGCTTTCTTAGGGAGCACCAAGCTAGATACTTAGTCTCAATTACATACAGTGGTGCCTCGCTTAATGGACGCTCCGTTTGACGACGAAATTGCTAGACGTCGATGTTTTTGCGATCGCAAAAGCGATGTTCCTTATGGGGGGATTTCGCTTTGTGATGATCGGTTCCCTGCTTCGGGAACCAATCATCGCAAAGCGATGATTTTCGGCCAGCTGATCGGCGGTTTCAAAATGGCCACCGGGTAAACAAAATGGCCGCACACTCTTTTCTGGCACGGATTCCTCAGTGCACAGGCAGCGAAAATGGCCGCACTATGGAGGATCTTCACTGGATGGTGAGTTTCAAGCCCCTAGGAACGCATTAATTGGGTTTAAATGCGTTTCTATGGGCTTTTTAAAATCGCATTACGACATTTTTGTTTTACAGAGATTTCGCTGGAAGGAATTAACGTCGTAATGCGAGTCACCACTGTAATAAATAAGCAATAGGTTGAGGATCTTTGTTTACCACCCACAGGTTGGAGCCCTTTGCTTGTTTAGCACTGGCAGGAGGAGGTAAGTGGAGGTGAATGGACAATATGCACTAACATATTTGCACACCAACAATAAGCAGCTCTCTTCAGACCTTTGGCTTACTGTGATCTGCAAACTGGACCAAAATCAGCAAGATGTGCTAGGTAGCTTATCTATCTTGAAAGAATACACTGCAAAACTCTGAAACCTACTAAACAATGAAGTGCAGACTTATTTAACATGACACATACTTGTGTTTTAAGTGTCAGAGAAGATTTTTTTTCTTCATGAGAAGGGAATAGTGGGGGGAGGGGGGAAACCTGATGTCTACCACTAAGCAAAGAAAACTGGGCTGAGCAGAGCTAGTTGTGGCTACAGAACGGAAAAATATAAAAGGTGTACATTCATCCCTTTATACTTGTTGGCCTCTCTGGATCTCACAAATAGGAAGGGGCAAATATCTGACAAATCAGCAATAATCAACAAATATCACAATTGGTTTTCATTATTGTCCTCCTGTGTAGTGGCTACAGAATTAGACTGAACTGGTACAGCATTGGTGCCCAACTGCAACTCCCAGAAACCTCAGCCAGCACAGATAGTGGTGGTGGCTTCTGGGAGTTTCAGCTCAAGAACACCTGGAAAAGCCAAGGTTGGGAACCTCTGTGGTACAGCATTATCGCTGACAGCCCTAGTCTACAAAATCCTATTGACCATGGACTCTGCATGTATAAGAACAGAATGTTTCAGATTTGCCAGCTCTATGCTGTGATTGAGAAGGCAAGGAGAACCACAGAGAGATTTTCAGGTGTTACACTCTGCTGTGAAATTCTTTTCCCCTAAATTCTCTCTGTTCAGCCATTCCCACAAGTACCACCCCAAGACTGGATGGCACACCCTGGTTTTATTGTGCCTCATCCCCAGCCCAGAAACATTCCAAAGTCAGAATCTGAGATACTCTTACTAAGTGGGTTTCTAATGAATAACTCCAGGGAACAGAATTAGGACAAGATGTGGATTTAGTCATAAAACCTCAATTATTTACCCCAAGCCCTTGGCATGGGGCAGTTTATAACACAGGACAAATATCTATGCTTCTCTGTTTGTGTGTCAAATGGCTTTATCCACAGTGATGGCTCGGGAGCAGGAATACGCCTTTGTTCATTACCATGTAAGCATGTCAAGCAAAATCCAAAGAAACAAAACATTTAATTTATCAGAAAATGACTACACAGATGTAGTGAAGGGAAAAGACTTTTCTTGTGATCCGTGCTGATCAGGCAAAGTTTTCAGACTCAAAGGATTTCTCATGTCAGGCATCTGAAACACAGGATGCCAACATTACTTCAGCAAAAGCTCCCATTCGTAATTACAGGAGATGAAGAGTGTGGGTGCAACCGAGTGATGCTCCATGGCTTTTGGGCAAGCACGAGTTGTCCAAAATATGCATTTCAATTAATTCTGATGCACCCTTTTTCTTCTCCGTCCTTAGTGCTGCTTCCCACGACCACATGTGCTTATTTACATTGCATGCAGGGACTTCCTAGAAAAGATACCCACACACACCCCGGGGCTCTGCAGGGAAAGAAAGAAGCAACTTCCTGCTTCTTTTGGCAGCAAACCCTGACCAGGTCGCCAGGTGGTGCTGTTCGTCTTCAACAGGCCATGCATGCATGTATTGTACTGTCCATTCAGAAGTTTTTACCTTCAAGCTTTTGAGAAATGTGGAGGCAGTTTCAGCATTCCCTTTAATGTAAAAGGAAACCATTCCCGGGCAGCCTGTGCACTGACGCTTCACCAGCTCAAATTGCGGGTGTGATGGCAAACCTGAAATGAGCCACACGTTTTACAGAAGGCTTGACTTCTAGTTTTACTTGAACACACACATACACATGTACACATGAACATGCACACACAGACACACATACAAACAGGCTAACTAAAGATGCAAATAGAATAGGCATTCATTGGCCAGCAGAAATAACTGATGCTAAGATTGAGAATGAATCAATTCCAAAAGCCAATTTGGCAGAATGAAAAGTAAGCAAGGGTTCTGATTACAAGCTTAATATCCTTGGGTTTGGGGTTGGTAATAGGTGGCCTTTTTCACACATTCTACATATATCAAGCTTTCCTACACACTCACAGTGGAGTGAGGCCATCTTTCTGGCCTGACTCCTGACACTGTGCTCCCTTCTTGACGCTACCCCTCAGCATCCCATACATTCGCCAACTAGCAGCCACCCCTTTTTTTTATAGATATACCCAGTGAAGGCACAGGGGGCAGAAGTGTCCCCATGGGGGGGGGGGGTTCAAAGCCAGAGATGGAGCCAAACCTAATTTTCTAACAACAAA